TCAGACATTCTGTATGCACGCACACACCACATATATATATATATATATATATATATATATATATATATATATATATTGTAGAATAGAATTTCGTTCGAGTTTCTTGGTACTAGCAATAATTTCTTAGGAGTTTGTCATGCCTACTACTACATGTGTTGAAATTCCACAGGATTGAGCTGTTTACTCAAACATAATGTTTGTATTGGTTCAATACGGATTTAGTGTTATCTTGGCAACCTAAACTCTGCTGGTGAAATGCACTTGTCAAATAATATTAATGGCACTATGAGATTGCCATGACACTGTCAATTGAAATATCCTCAAGAGAACTTTAGATGGCCATCCCACCTCTATCTCGGAGTCGCTAAGGTCGGTGGAGAGTGGGGGGAGGGGGGGAGGGGGGTGGAAGGTTGCCTATTACCAAATAACCGACCCAGTTGGCGCTCACCCAATGAGTCCAATATGTGTGGGAAGAGCAGCGTGCATGTTGATTGTACTTGCTGCTTAAATTTACTCATTTCAAATGGCAGGCTCTATGACAATTATCATTAGTCCTTTAGCTGACTTCGGGCTTCATAGAGAGGAGGTGAGAAACATCAAAGTAAGGAAAAGCAAAGAGGGGGAACATAAGAGTGATTCACAAACATAAAAGAGACAGACAGATACAAAGTCAGAGAAAAGGTAAGGTGAGTACTGTAGAAGTGGTCGACTATGACATACAGTGGGGTGATGGCAGTTTTAAGTGAAAAGTGAGCTGCCGATTTGTGGACATTTTTGTCGTATGAGTATAAGTTGTCCAGGATGCACCACGTGGAAGTATGGTCTATCGCACACCCCGCTTGCAGTCTAAATAAGTCATCGGAAATTACCGAAATCAACCACAAGATGGTGTTTGTGCTTGCGTGAGGCACAAGCTGCGCTGATACGTTGGTCTCATCTGTCCTCACTCTCTAATAGCTTGACAAGAGTGGCAGTTAAGTGCGAGCTTCTTACCCGAACCGCTCAAAGATAAGCGCACCTTTTGCCCTAATAATTTATTCTTACTACAAATTTTGTCAATCGCAGCCAGCTTTTTTGAGTCCCTCCAACAAAGGAATCTGGTGGTTTGAAGAGTTATTATTTTTTTCTTCTCTATTCACTGCCTACACTTTACCGCTTAAGACATGGCTGCAGTTTTTTTTGTGTGTAATACCAATATCCGCGAAATTTGAATTCTCTCTTGTCGCGCATTTGATGCAATTGTGGCGTGATCTGGGGGTAATTGGACTTCCAAATACTTGAAATAACAATTTAACATGGGAAACCCATTAATTTTGCCTAAAGTGTGTTATTTTGGTAAAACGAAATATGCTCAGCCTGACAATTAATGGCTGTTGTCAGGACTAGCCAAGTTGTATGCGCATGTGCATATCATTTCCTACGCATTGTCGTCTTAAGTTTTGAGTCGGCTTCGACATTCGACTACTCCTCTACTTAATCATACTACTCACAAGAATAGTAGTTAATTCGGTTCAAACATAACCCCCCCCCCTTCAATACGAGTTACCAGCGCTGAACGGAAGACACAACCGCACTGATGGGTGCGGGGGAGGGGGGGGGTGGGGGGTCGATCACACTTCTCACCAGGAGGGTCCCAATTTTTTGAAGTGGACTGCCTGGGTGAGATGATGGCTTGGGTGTTGTCACTTGTTTCAACAGGGTGTGCCCCTAATGTGCACTTTCAAATGAGTGAATGCGTAAACTACAGCACTCACACGCTAAGTCCCGTTCTCTACATTTGTCATCATTGGCCACACCTTACATCGGTTTCACTGGGTTAAGTTAAATAAAATTCAAATTTATATTGTAGCGCCCATTATTAATCTTTGTCCTCATCATAAATCCCAGTCCACACGAGTCACTTTTGCAATAAATCATTGTTTATTATCAAGTACCAGGCGCGAGGGAGCTTCGTACTGCAACTGATGTACACGGATCTCTGGGGCTTCAGAATACAATGCGTTCTGAATATTATCTCCCAAACTGTATAGCACTCGAGGGGAGAACGATGTGGAAATAGGATATTTACATTGAAATAAACTTTCAGTGGTGTATAGTGAATTCTCTTCTTCTCTTTGCCTTCTGCGTTTCTTTCTGATTTTCTTCTTTTTAATAAAAGAATACTATCCAATGAGAATAGGGCGGAATTCTTCACTCTTCTTAAAGGAAACCAATAGTCTGTTTGACACACCCAACATTAGAATTGCGATGGCAAATAGTATTTCTTTATCACGAAACGTCCATCTTCTCACTCCCCTTCCAGTAAATACGGATCTTACTCAATTGCGTGCCCTCTGTCTTCTCTGCAGTAGTGTTTATTGATTTTGGGAGGCCAAAAAGTCACTGGTCATCAAATCAAGTGCGGTGGGATGGGGGGATGGGGAGAAGGCCTCCACTTGGGGACGTGAGAACACAAATGTATCCCTGAATATTAGGAATGGGAAGCTTTGTTGCTCTTTCTCCAATTTTCCACAAAGTGTTGCCTTAAAAGCGTTTTTGACTGCAAATGAATGCAATGAATTTTTATAAACAACAGAAAAGCGAGTGATGTTTTTGCATTGTCTTCTTCGTCGTCGAAAGGCAATCTGTAGTAGTAAGAAGTAGCAGCCTTTTCAAGAAGAGAGAGAGAGAGAGTGGGGGAAGAGGTAGTGAGAATTAACTTAGACCATTCAATACGCCCTTCTTCTCTTTTGATTTTTGAATTCGTCCATTCACTTAATGGCTATTCCAATGATTCGTACTTTAGTTTATTTACGTCATTATGGTGCATAATTTGGTGCAAAAGTCCAGCTCTATCAGACTAGCTGACAAAATTGAAACGTTGGTCTCTTAAGCGCTAATGTCTTTCATAAGACGAGAAGCCGGGACGATGGTGGTGTCACTTTTAAAGAGTCTGTCTCTTGATAATAAAACACAAGTTTTTTTGGTGCACTTGCAAGTGATTTTAAAAACATCCGCTTGCACGAAGATCTACAGCCCCATCTTTTCACTTAATTTCGCGCATACTTGTTTCCAGGAAGAGAAAAAGCGATGAAGAACGGAACGCTTTCAGACGCGAAGGCAACCACAAAGTCAGATGAGACAGACGAATCCGATACACGGACCCTTTCGCCAGGTACTGTCCACTCCATGACCCCGGAGAAAGACGAGGCGGCTACAACCATATCCACGGGTCTTGAGAGCAAGATAAGCACCCTGAAACGAACTACTGGCAACTCCGGAATGTCTGCGGTGAGTTAACAAGACCTATTTACAAGTTGTGTGATCAGTTACTTTGAAAGAGCATGTGTACTATACACATTACTGACATTTCTGCTCGCATATTCATTTTCACTAAGTGCATTACGTCACCAATTGCCGATAAAGTTTATGGTTCACAAGTTCTTCCTTTTTGGTCGGTGATACTTAACAGCTGAAGTTTCTTCTCCAATCCCTTTTCCAGTGAATGCGTCTCATCAATGGAAACATTTCTACTAACTCTCTTTGTCATAGTAAATGACATGACTTAGGAATAGACGGTTCAACCTGAGCATATGAGCATATGCCAACGCTATGAAGCACCACGAAAATGCTATTTCAACTCACAGAAAATTAACTGAAATGGGATTAAAGGGGTGGGGGTGGTGGCAGTGGAGGGTGGGGGGTGGGGGATGGGGGGGGGATAGTTCGAGAATGACCTGAGACTAAATCCACGAGTCCCATTTCATCAGAATTTCTGTCTGTACAAGTTTTAATAAATTGTCGGTTCAATGTCTTCCAATTGGAGCAGATATGACAGTATGACTAACATTTCAATAAAAGTAGCCAACATTTCATTTGAAAATTAAGTATAATTGCCACGAAACTAGATCGGTATCACTTTGCGTGAACTCAAGTGAATCTGCAAAATATCAGACGATTAGATAATTAAGAGTTGGCCAACTGAAAAGATTGCAGAATTGAGGCTATATGGTCAAAATTTCATTCCCCGTCAACTCATAAAAAACCCTTTTGATCAGTTGATGGAAGTTAATTTTCATGTGCTGAATCCCCTTCCAGAAGTCAAAATTTTCTTGTTCTCAATAATGGCGTAAGGTCGTTGTTTAGCAGTGTAAAGTAGAGATAACTCAGGTGATTAATACGCCTTATACCTCCTACAGCCTCACGATGAACTCATAAATGGAAATCAAAAGCATTCATTAAGTCTCGTAGACAGTAAGCAGCTTTTAGATCAGAGGCCAGTTCCCCCCCCCCCCTCTCCCCTCCCCCTTTCTCCCTCCTCCTCCTTCCGCTAGAATAAGGCTGGAGCGGTTGCTGAGACAGCCGCTGCTAGGTCTTAGCAGCCATCCCGCCAGCCAGCCAGCCAGCCATCCAGTTACTTAGACAAAAGCAGGTCGTACCCGCTTCTACAGACCTTTCAACTTAGCGTAGTAGGCGTATTCAGACCCACAAAAAATTAATCAAACCGAATTTCCATGCCTCATAGTATGTGGGTGTGTGTGTTTGCCTCTGTGTGTGTGTGTGTGATTAAGAGAAAGCGAGGGAGAGAGAGAGAGAGACAGAGAGACTGAACGCATATGTGACAGAGAAACTCACACTTTGAATTTTGCGTGATTTTGCTTCCAAGCCAACCCGCTCCCTTTGGCTTCTAAAAATTTATGTGGCGAGGGAACGAAATGGAATCGCTTCTTTTAACTACAAAGATTTCCCGCCAACTGAATTGTTCATATTTTGATCAAAAAAAGGTCCTCACTTTTCAACGTTAGAGTTGAATTCGATGCGAAGTCAACTACTTTAATGGTCTTGTCAAGGGATTGAAATGGATAGTTACGGTAATAACTGCACACTTTCGTACATTGTTTTAGTTACTTAGTCAGGCTGTACGCTTCATTTCAACACTCTTTTCCACGCTTGAATCGTTTGGTGCAGGTGAGTTGACGCTTTGATCACAATTCCATAAACAGAATCATCAACAACTGCCTTAGCCGTCTGGTTTCTCCATTTTTACAACATCTCGAGGAGGAGCTTGATTGGTGGATTGACTTATTTAAGAATGCAATCGTCAATTCTGACAATTGAGGGGAATTTAGGTGATACTGTTCAAATTTGAAGGTTTTGGTCAGTTAAACCTTGAATAACTACAAATGTTTGAAGCCCTCTCTTTAATCTTGTCCTCTTCGGTGGGAAACTTGAAACCGCATCAGCTGATTGCCAAACGAAGCAGAAATAATGGAGGTGCTCTAGACTTGTCGGATTCCAGATTATTATCTCGTGTTTTCCATGTTGTGAACTTCCCTTTGGAAACTGACGAAATATTTAAAAGTTACTATTATGCTAGCTTCCAGAAACTGGTCTTAAAGGCCATCAGAGATGGCAGACATGAGATTTTCAACTGCCGTTTGTCGATAAATTATCTCCTGTTTACGCCAACGCACTCTCCAACTTGGTTGAATCGTCGTCATTTGAGATGCCATTAGCGCTTGTTTGTCTCTATATCGGCTAATAATTTTTATATTTAAGTTCTTTTAAGAATGCTGATTTTTTGTTTAATTGTGGCTTGCAGTTTGGCAATCGAATTTCCACAACAATGTATTACCATTTTTGCATTGCATTGTGTGCCATTTTATTTCAAAAATTTATTTTTTACCAAACATCTGCGACAAATATTGTGAGCCCTAGTTGTAGTGTTCGAATCTGAGCGCAGGAACGAAAAATGAAGGCAGATATCAGAAAAGGTTGTTTTTTGCGTTTGCATTTCCTCTTTCCACAGTCCGATATGATTTGGTCGAAGTAGATGATTTGGAGTAAAAGGAGGGCATTTGGAAATTGGAAAATCTTCTTTCAGGGGGCGTCCGAGTTACGAACTGCCCACAAGGCTCCTCACGACAAGTATTGTGTTGTGTCAACGGTCACCTATGAAAGTACGTGGATGAACTTTGTGGATATCTGTTTCCAAGGGGAAAGATTTGTCATTGATTGTACTTCACATGCCAGTATACTTGTGTTTGGTTTTAAAAGGTGGAAATGACCACAAATGATTCAAAAGAGTGAATGGCAGAGGTGTTATTCCAAAGTAAGCTTTGACATGACGTTGTGATACAAGCGATTGGCATTGAAAAATAGCAAGTAAGCAAATAGCCAATGGAGCTGCAGGGAGTCTTGACCCACTCGACTTGAGGACTCGAGTTGACCATCTCCCACCGAATTGGCAGTTCACGTTAGAAAGTTCGAACTTCATGAAACGCTCTCTTGATTTGAGAAAATGCTCATCCACCATCTTCGCGGTGCAATTCCATCAACGCGCCTGTTATTCTTTCAATTTTTGTGAACGCAAACAGTCAGATATGCTATTCCACTGTTTACTGATTCTGACATAGCGCAGAAAATTGTACTTATTTGACCACTGGATGAAATGCTGCCTTCAAGAAAAATAATTCTATTTATGAGACTCCGTTTTCCCACTTTTGAGAAATGTTTAACCCTGTGATGCCCACTGAGAAACGTACTTTGGAGCACTAGACTTGGATCCGATCTAATTCATAGAACCTAATCCACCAAGCAGAATTATCCAAGGTGACTTGTAGTGACTTGGCAATTTTGCGCACTTAAACATAGAAGATGATTTGAATGCCAACATTGTGTGAATTTATTAGTAACTATTTCTTTCTCAGAGATTTGCCATAAAAATTATTTTCGGTTTGGCTTAAATAGGACCTAAATTTTACCCTTTTTCTACAAAAATGAGAGGTTGAGTTTAATACTTCGGGCAATTGGTCAAAATGTTCTAATGCTTGCTTGTACAGTTTCTGAAGTCATTCAGCAATCCTTTTTATAAATATGTGTTCTCATAGATTTCCTGTGAACTTTGCCTTGATCTCAGAATGTACTTGGGTAATGATCCAGCTCTTCCTCGGTCCTTCGACCACCAATTGCACAATGCAGCAAATTAATGCCAAATAAACCCCTTTAAAACCTTCTCAGCGCATAAGATCCATTGATTCATTGCACAAATTTTAATTGTCCTGCCAAAGTTCAACTTTCTAACAATTATTGTAAAAAGTTATTTTAACCATATATCTTCTTCCTCCACCATGCAGACTAATCTTTATTTCAAATTCTCACTACTTCAATGTTTACTTTGTAGGCCATTGCAGAGTATGTTGGAGAACGTCAGCGAAATAGTTCTCCCGACCTTGATCCCATTTCTGCATCGAGATCACCAAGCGCCAATATCGAGCCCCCCTACAGCACGCGTTTCACCAATCATCGATTCGCTTGTAAGAAACCGGGGCTCTTAAGTCTAGCCTCATTTTTTTAAATGATCCAATGAGCTTCCTTGAATTTAATCAGATTTTATGTTCAAACAGGCGTGAGATCGGTCAATTAGGGTCACTTAAACAGGGTGAAATATTCACATATTCAATAAAGTGCAATAAACTCCAAATTAATTTTTTTACTGAAAATGCTTATATTTATTACTACTTTTAAACAAAACTCACATTGAAATTAATCACATTCACTTTCATAATTATAAATTTTCTTTCTTAAAAAAGGCTATCTGGTCCTCTGATGTTGGGTGAAACATGTTGATATATGTTCGGTGTAAATGAATTTAAAATGTTGTTTTCTGTTATTCTCCCGTTGATGAAACTATTTATTTAGTAAATATGATCAAAGTGAATTGAATTCTAGAAATCTTGGGTCTGTATCAATCAATGTATTCAATTATTAATTGGAAGAAAGGTTAATTACAAACGAATTGCCAATGAGCAGATAATTTATTTATTTATGAAGGAAATAACAATGCCAATACATTCGGAGTCCAATTGAGAATGGTATATTTTGTTATCTTTAGTGTTTTTTTAAGAGACTTGCAAAATATTAATCTGTCATTAAATGACATCCACAACAGACTTTCTGCAAATCTGGATGCGACGCAATACGGTGAAGACATGTCTCCAATTTATCAAAAAAAAACTGTGCAGAGACGACCGAAAAGTCATAGGTGTACTCACTCTTAGCAGATTAAGTGATCCCTAAGTGACATGTACAGATTAGCATCGTCCTCCTCGCGATGCATTCGAGGATTCAAATGTTCGCCATATGCGATTGTGGCTTGAGAGGGTCTTAGTTGCCAATTGAATCGTTAGGGAAGGGGGGGGGGCATTTAGGCTATGACAAAAATGAAATACGTACATACATATGTCATATTTTATTGAAACAAAAACAATATTCCAGGTCGCCGGGAAAAGACTTTTGATTCCCTCCGATCCGTTGCACGTAAGTTCAGCTGTCGTAAAGTGTCGGTTAATGCAGCGTAATCCCACTCCCTCCCACCCCCTTGTTACCCGCCTTCTTCTTCTTCCTCCTCTTCTTCTTCATCTCAATATTTTGATTTTTGTTTCGGTTGATCCAATTAATTCATTTTGATCATCCCGCCCCAATAGCTCCCTCCAGATCCACTCTAAGACGCGAATTTCCACGCGAAAACTACTACTATACGTCGCCAATTCGTAAGTGATCAACCCACTCAATACTAGATGCCTACAAATTCACTGCGTGAATGGCTAATTAGCTAATGCGTGCTTGACTTAACCCAGTTGCTCAATTTTCCGTTTTTTTTTCTATTGCATGAGTTATTTTTTAGTGGCTTCTCTTCAAATATTTCCTCGCATTTTAAATTTCCCAGAAGAGTAGGGATTACCGTGTTTTTTGGAGAATTTCTAAAATTGCCCCAATTTGTTTTTTTTTGTGGTCAAGGGTTGCCTTAAAAGCTAACTTTATACAGCAAATTCAACTGATCGGTTGTGTTTTATTGGCAATTTAATGCAAAGATTGGGCCTTTTTTTGATTAAATTTAAGCGCTTAGTTAAATGCGTCGTAAATGTCACTGAAAATGAAAATGTTTGTATAGAATTCAGTTGAACTCTTTGTTGATGTTCATGCTGAAGCAGAATTAAATAATTGAAATATTATATCCAAAGTTTCAACAAAATAATAAATTTTTAGTATTTTATAAAATGCCAGAATTTAATGGCGAACCACTTTCCTACAGTCAACAGAGTTTAACATCGAAGAAGAATCTCCATGCATAAATAGTTTATTTAGCAATATTTCTACTTTTCATCATCATTTCTTGTTTTCATAATTTTTTTTCACAGTTTTTTAATAGTTAGACCTATTGTTTTCATTGGGCCCCTTTAATACCACCTTTCGATTCTACCATCTACCTCTTTTAAAATAGTCATCATTTCTTATAGAGCTTCTCTCACACTCTGTGCCATATTTTGCATCTCTTCTTCTTGATCACGAGACAATGGTAGCATTTCTATTGCAAAAAAGGAGAAATTAATTCTTCAATTTCTAATTCTGTTCTCATATTTTTTTGATAGCAGTTTCGATGATCTGAATTTTGGATACACCACTGCCATGAAAGGCCCAC